AAGTGGGTGAATAGTAGTGTTATTAACATCATCAACATTAATTTATTCCCTTAAACTCAATTTAGTCATATTTTCTTAGTGGGATCAATGCATTTACAGCTGTGTGACGATGTTGAAAAGTTCCTGCCGTTCTTTAGTAGCAGCAGACAGATGTGTTTGTTTGAAAGTGTTTTTCTCACTGATTGTTTCTCAGATGCGATTAGAGGTGTCGATGTGTGTCTGTGACATGCAAACGCTGCCAGATGTGACTTCAGTCATCAGACTCTCTTTATCTGCGGAGCGTTTGAAATTTCTGTGTGCTCCGCACTGCTGGAGTCCATTCAAAGCCACAAACTCCCCGAGACACAGGCCTGAGTCTGAAACACTGATTCAGTCTTCAGCGGGAATGTTACTCACACTAGCTGTTTTAATTGATATTGATTATTAGTGACGCTTGTTAAATCAGTCGACGACAGTGTTATTTTCGTTTCATTGAGATACTATCATAAAAAAAATTTTGTTTGTTTTGTTTATATAGTTTTTATTCATTTAAAAAACTTTTTATTTCAGTTTTATTTTTATTAATTTTAGGTAATCAGCTTTAACTAAATGAGACACTATTGTAGTTTGAGAGATACTATTTTTTTATATTTTGAATTAGTTTTTATTTTTGTGTTTTCTATATTTGTTTTAATTTGAGTTAAAGTTTTAATAATTTTGTTGTGTGTTTTCGTCATTTTTTTTATTAGTTGTTTTTTAAATGTTTATGTATTTTTCTTTCATTTGTTTTAATTTTATTTATTTTAGTACATCAACTTAAACTAAATGAGATACTATTATAGTTTGAGAGATACTATTTTTTTATATGTTGAATTAGTTTTTATTTTTTTTGTTTTCCATTTTTGTTTTAATTTGAGTTGAAGTTTGTCATTGTTTTATTAGTTGTTGTTTTTTTTTCATTTTATTTATTTTAGTACATCAACTTTACATGAGATACTATTATAGTTTGAGAGATACTAATATATATATATATATATATATATATTGAATTAGTTTTTATTTTATATTTTCCTTTTTTTTATTTGAGTTAAAGTTTTAGTAATTTTTCAGTTCTATTTTTTTTTTTTTTTTTTTTTAA